AGGGTGATGCTGGATGTATAGAATGAGTTTGGAAGAATGGCCTCTGTTTCAATTTTTTGAAATAGTTTGAAGATAATTGATATTAATTCCTCTTTAAATGTCTGGTAGAATTCAGCAGTAAAGCCATTCAGTCCTGGGCTTTTCTTTGTTGGAAGACTGCTGATTACTATTTCAATCTTGTTACTTGTTATTCATCTATTCAGGCTTTCTATTTCTTGGTTCAGTCTTGGTAGTATGTATTTGTCCAAAAATTTATCCATTTCCTCCAGGTTTTCAAATTTGTTGATGTATAGTTGTTTATAATAGCCTGTAATGATTTTTTTTATTTCTGTGGTATTGGTTGTAATGTCTCCTTTTTCATTTCTGATTTTTGTTATTTGGGTCTTCTCTCTTTTTTTAGTTAGCCTAGCTAATGGCTTCTCTATTTTTTTTATCTTCTTTAAAAAACAACTTTTTGTTTCATTGATCTTTTGTATTATTCTGGGGGTCTCTATTTCATTTAGTTCTGCTCTGATCTCAGAAGAACAAATGAGTGTTCTTTGAAGACACTTTGAGTACTCGGATCAATATACTACTTATTCTCAAAAAATATATACACATGAATGTAGCAACTGAGTAGAAGAATCTTCATGCCCAAGTCACTCTGAGGCTTATAGGGGCAACCTAGAATGCCACCCTCAGGGACAGCACAACAGGTAACAGGTAGGGAAGACTAAGCATTCTCCTCTGAAGGAAACTAAAACTGAATTCTGAAGAGTTCAGAGTTCATGATAAGATGTTCAATTCAGGTTTTATGTTCATTTGATAACCAAGAGTTGTAATCTTTATGAATACCATTCTGCATGCTACTCATGTAGCTAAAACTAGGATGTAATGCAGCTGATGACATCAACTTGGACACCTAAATGCCAACGGTACCAAGTAATCACTCTACCCCACTTATTTTCATAATTTAGTGATTATTTATCACATTATCTGAAATCTTATTTTCAAATTTTTCTCAAATTTCAGATATGTCCGTAACTTACTATTGAGGAAACAAAACAGTATGTAGGACATAATTATATTAAAGTTTTGTGTGTGTGTGTGTGTGTGTGTGTGTGTGTGTGTAGAGAGAGAGAGAGCATTTCTTTTTTTTTCCCTCTCGTATAGTACAACTTTAGATTATTTTTACATTCTTACTTATACTTTTGTTAATGCTTTAATTGCTTACAGTGAGTGTCATTGTTGTAATCACAAAAATAATAAAATGAAGCTATCTTCATTTTAGAAAGAAAAAAATGTTCTATAGATTCTGGAAGCAGTTTCAAGTAAAACTCTTTCAAATGCTCTTGGGAGATTATTTTGAAGGTCAGAATTCCAGAAGAATGTAAAATCCTTGTGAACAGAGAAAATAGCTTCGCTCCCTATTCTATCCCCAGTTCACCAAGTACCCCGCACACAGCAGATGTCACACACACACAAACACACACACACACACACACACACACACTGAATAAATACAGTTTTCTTGAATGTTAAATTT